TCTCTCATCAGGACCCTCAAATTTCCTTTTCAGACTGTGAGCTTCATCTTTCCACTGGTATCGTTCAGCCTCGAGTTCTCTTACCCTCTACTTTAGCTCGTTATTCACAGCTTCGAACTCTTCCTTTGCTTTCTCAAGTTCAGAAGGGACAAGCCTAAGATATTCCTCCATGGTCCTGGTGTCTTCACAGTCTGGCACAGGGATGTTGTCATTTTTCCTTAATCTTCGCCACTCCAAATAGTCTGGAGTAAGCATGTCCTTGGAAGCTACGACATCCATCCGGAATACCTTTTTCCACGATTCATCTACCTCTTTGAGTCTTTTCTTATAGTTATCGTCATGGCATACAAATTCAGATCCAGCTAGTCCATATGTCACTAGGACAAACTGATGTGCCCTAAACTATCGAAGTGCCAGAAGTAGAGAATACCCAACTTCTTCCAACAGCCCACACAGTGTCATGATGTTGGAATCTCCACATCAGAAGTGAATGTCATTGTGGGTCAACCAAGGGGCTCTCCAGGCAATATCTCAATCCTGAAGATGTGTGAAGACTTTTATCAATTTTTCCTTTGAGGCGCCTTCACGCCATTTCATAGTGATGAATTCACCTAAAGGTGAATAAGTGGTATTGAATCAGTGGTAGGCAACCCCATTAGTCTTCTAGAAATGACTATGAATCCAGACTTGAAGAAGCTGAGCACACCCAATGAACCTTTCTCTGCCAGTTTTTCTGTAGTGGTTAAGAGAGCGGAAGGTCTCGGCTAAGATTGTCGGTGCTGGATTTACTCACCTTGAGAGTTGTTCAAATAGCTCTACCACAGCTGTATCGATGCATCCCAAAGTCTTCGGAAAGATAATCAAACCGTAAAGACTCAGTGCAAAAAGGTCTATAGCATTTTATTAATCAGGGTGATTCTTCATCAGTTGCTTGATATCAGACCAAGGAATTCCTTCTTCGGTGCCTCTGTGCTGAGTTCGGTCAGTTACCCATTTCTCGTCTACTCCCGCAATTTTGACCAGTCCATTTTTGAAGGGTTGACTCTTGATATGCTTGATATATGCTCGTTCCAGTCTGATGCTTTCACAGTTTATCAGTGTAGTATACTCTTCGATAGTGGGTACCATGGTTAAAGGTGAAGCACATGTACCCCAGGTTCCAGAATTGAATGAAGGCTCTGATCAAGGGTTCATCTATCTTGACATAGAGCAAGAGTGCGATATCACCATGCTGATGGCTGAACTTCTGTTTTCGGTCACCCTTCCAATTGTCCCAAATGCTTTATAGTTCTTGGATATCATTCTGCTTCAAGCTGACAGAGGTGTAACCGACGAGTTCTGACACATAGCTTCCCTGAAGACTGTCTCCCTTCTCTTTCTGAGTCTTCTCGGACCATATTCGTACCTCGATATTTTTTATCTTTTGTATTATAACACCTTTGTCCATTAGTTCAGATTATTTGTGTGTAATAAATATTGTTTTAGGGATCAATAGCCTTTTTTATGATACAAATGCTAAAAAAGACAAACACGAAAGCAAAAAGTTAGTAAAAATAAAAATAATAGTAATGAAAGTAAAGGTAAAAAGAAAAAAGTAAACTGCATGGTTAGGGTAAAAACATCATAGGGTTTGAAATGTGGTTTCAGGGTAGGCTCTAATTCTCCATAGTCTTTAGGTTTAGGTTCTAAAAACGGTACCCGAGTTCTCCTTCCTGGTACCCCCTTGGGCTTATCATACCCCTAGTCCTAAGCCCATTACAAGCTTTTGTGGACTAAGTTAAAATCGAGAGGAAACAGTCCCTTATGCCCATACGGAGAATAAATTCACACGAAAACATAAGGTATATGAATCTCGAAGGTTACTTGCTAGGCCCATACGAATAATAAATTCTCATGAGAGCGTCGCTTTCACCCCCACTTAAAAACGGGTTTGGAGCTCGGGTTTAGAGCCTTAGATGAAAAACCAATTTTGACAAGCTGAAATCATTGAGAAAACCGTCAGTACAACTATTTATTCGAAAAAACATAATCAGAAGTAAGTAGTAAGGATCGAAAAATTGCCTTAAAATTTTGAATTTATCCTTTTCATTAAAAAGACAACTGGAAATTACCTTAGCCTGACTCACTTACCTGTCCCAAGCGGAGTCGCCAAGCTTTCGGAACCGCCTTTCGGGTGGGCCCGAAATTGGGCTTCGACTTAGGAAAATGATTTGGAGCCGCCACCGATCTTTTATTTTAAAACAAATGGGTAGATCGGATACCTTATTTCTTACCTGATCTGCGTCTTACCAAATATGTGTTGGATTCGGGAGTCGGTTACAGTCAAGGAAGGGTTAGCATCCTTGAGCTGGCCTTTCGGTACTAAGTAATTTCCAGTTATCTTTCATTAAGAAAAATTGCAAGTTTAATGAAAAAAGGTAAAAATTGATCCGAATTACTTACCTCTGATTGACTGAAGTACCCTAAAAATGTTAGATTCGTAGTGAAGTACATAATCGAATTGGGACAGAAAACGTGTAAATATGAAAATAATAAACATAACAAAAATAAGGAAAAATGATAAAATAAGCGAAAATATAAAAATAAATAAAAATAAAATGCTAACATAAATAAAAGATAAAACAAATTAATAAAAAATAAAAATAAAACAAACATAAAACAAAGAAAAATAATAATGAAATAAAATAGGAAGAAAAAGAACCTAAATAAAAAAAAGAATAAGAAATAATACATATGATATAACGTTTAAGAAAATAAGTAAAAAACAAATAAAAATAATAAAATAAAATATTTGGTAAAACAAAAATAATAATAATAAAAATAACGATAATAATAATAATAAAAAAAGTGAAATATATATATATATATATAATGTACAATAATAATAATATATATATATAATAATAATAAAACGTAATATATATATATATATAATTAAAAAATTAAAAATTAAAACACGAATTGAATTTAACATGGGTTAAATTGAAAAGCAAAACGAATCAAGTGGCCAAATTAAAAGAAAATCAAAATTAGAGACCAATTCAAAAACGAGTTTTGGGTTAAAATATGCATATAGGGAACACGAGGGGGCAAAACTATGATTTTCCCTCTTTGCTTCAAAAACACGCAAGTCATGCGTGTTATGGGTCGGGTCGGTTAGGTTCCACGGGTTGACTATATAAGTCAACAAATTCTTTTAAAATTTCATTTGCCTCACTTTTAAGCCAAAGCCCTCTCCCCCAAATCCATTTTCTATGCATCGTTCTTGGATGTTCTTCAAGAACAAAGAACACCACCATATTTTCTAGAAAACGGCCACCGCGCCACCTCTTCAGTCATCAGCGGCGAGAATTTTTTTTGTTTTTGAAAACTTTTTCGTGCCCCCAGTGCAAATATCGAGTTAGTTTTTACAAATCGACCTAAGGGGAGACTAGATCTGAGAATGAAAGTCTCGACAGCCTCCCCCTTTGTTCCTCAGTCTTTCGAAAAAAAGTAAAATGAAAACATTGCATGCAAATCGAGAACTTTGAAAAAAGTATGAGCTTCTACCTTGTATTTTCTTTTCGAATTTTTGCAGAAATAAGAAAGCTTCGAATGCTCTAAATATTCGTAAAAAAAATCTACTTGTATTTCGTATGTATTTCCACCATATTTTCGTGAGTATTGTTTTGATTACAAGCATCTTATTTATAGTCTAAAAGAGACTATTTTTAGTCTTGATTTATTTGGGTTTTTGACTCCTAATAGCACTGAAATTTGTTGGTTGTTGATGTTGATGAGTTCACGATGTTGTGCTGAGCGAAACGGCCGGAGGGAGATGTGTGAGTGGCGAGGGGTCCTCGGGGGGACAAGTGGCGCCAAAGGGAAAAGCTTTTGGAACCCTAGTATCAGTTCGGGTTGAGGACTTTGACCTAGTTCGGGGCTCCAAGTTGGCTTCGGGTCACGTGTGGTCTGTTGGGCCTCACATGTTTCTGTTGGGCTTTATAATATTGGACCTGAAGAAATAAAAATAAAATGTAAATTTATATGTATTATAGCATTTATAATATTATATAATAATATTAATTTAAGTGGACGAAATAAAGTGTCTTTAATAGAACCCTAAAGAGATATTTAAAAAAGAAAAAATGATTTGTGCTGAGGAAAAGCGTGGAGGATAATGGAGGAAGTAATGGTCGTAACCTACTGGTGCCATCAGTGTTCTCAAGTGGTTATTCCGATCATGGAAGTCGAGATTAAATACTCCAAGAAGTTTTTTATTTTTCTTTACCATTAGTTAGAACATATTATATATAAAATGTTGGAATATAATACCAATTGAGGGACTCACCCCTGTGGTTTTGGTATGCCCCTAAAGGCGTTGTAGGTGTTGGTTCAATCCACCCCAAATAAAATATCCTCCAATCTAGTAGTGGCATATATCAACACCTAATTAGATGTTAAATTTACAAACTGAATTAAAATTATGACCAAATTGAAAGAATATATAAATATTGATGATCAAATATATAATTATATTAATTTTATTAACTGACACATCATCATTTATGTTAAATGTTAACTGTAAGTGGTGTAATTGAATGCATTTAAATAATTTTTAAAGATTAGTTTACCCTTAAAATCAATTCTTCTGTGATATTAAGCCAATTTAATTAGTGTAATTTGTATAGCTTAAATAACTTGGCAATGACTTGGACTTTTCTAGAGCAATTGACTGTAAATCTAAAGATCAATGATGTTTGGCAAAGTCTTTTCAATTGATGAAAATATTTGATACAATTTTTTGAAATTACATCGGATAATAAATTGGTAAAAATATATGTATTTTTATCAAACCACTGATGGAATTAATTTAAGGGTAGATAGACAATCTAAAGTTCAACAACAATAATTATCTTTCTTTTTTTTCTTATCAGACAATAATTATCAACGTTGAAGGGGACGTCAAGGTTGCCAGCCGCTTGTGTTTTTCTTCAACAACCCCACCAATTATTTAATTCCGACGACCCACTTTTCATTTTTTACGAAAATACCCTAAAAGCCTCGAACCACGCATTTTTCCAATATCTAAGATCAAAATTGAGGGGGGGGGGAACTGCCAGAAGTATACGAACATGGTGTTGACCCTCTTGATCATATATCACAGTACTGGCAAAAAGGAAAATGAAGAACAAAACTTATAGGAAAAGATATAAAAAGTGCATATTTTTTTCTAATAATTAAAAATATGATGATTCTAGAATTTTTCACTCATATGCTATAATTTAATCTTGGAATCCGGTTTTTTCAAAAATTGCATTTCTGACCCTCCTCAGATCTCTTCCTTTCAAGGTCCTCCCTATCCCTTCGTGAACCGAGAAGGGTGCGATCCTCGCCCTCGCCAGTTGGTTCGCCAAAAACTCGTGAGGAGGAATCCGAACTCCTCCTTCCGACCAATCGTCGCCTTCCGCGTCATTATCGTCGCTCTCCGATCTCCTCCTATAATCACGGTACTCTTCCTTCAAAATCTTCGACCAGTCGGGTATGTTAACCGGCAGCGACGCTGGCGCCTCTCCTCCGACCGAATCCCCTCCACCGCGCTTAGTCGACGTCTTCTTCGCTACTCGACTGGCGGACCGGAAGTCAGGCGAGACGGGGCTAGTGGAGACACCGTTGTTGTAAATATCGGACTCGTCTAACTCGAATGCCGCCGAGTCGTAACTCAGCGCTGCTCGGAGTTGTGAATCGCTCGACAGGAATCGGTAGTTATTTCTGGAGTAATAGCTTTTGCTGCTCGCCATAAAAAGGAAATAGGAAAGAAAATCTTTCAATTCCCTCTACTCTCTCAACTATTCTCTCCACTTTTTTTTTTTTTGGTTTTGAAATTTTTCTTTGGTTTTCTGATCATTTCGATCTCATTTTATAAAGGTTGGATTCCATAATGGATAAGACTGGTTCGCTCAACTTAAAATTAAAAAAATAAATCAATATGCAACTCGTAAATTACAAAAACACCCCGTAATTTCCAGGAAATGCCACGTGGATTCCTCGTTACTAACATAATCTCGCAAGTGGAATTTGAAAATAAAACCGATTCTGGAGATTTCACGTTTAAGGTTTTCATGTATAAATTAATTCTAGTGATGTATTTTGATTTGTCAGTTTAATGAATTATTTTTTAATATACGAATGTAATAATTAATCATAATTAGTTTAATTATACTTTTAAAGATACATACTGTATCTATCCTTGCATTTTCTTGGATAAACTATGACAATGGTCACTCATATTTGGGCTAATGTTCGCTTTTACCACTAATGTTTAAAAAATTGCAAACCGATCACTGACATTATCGTTTGTTTTAAAATGGTCTCTCGATGTTAACAACCGTTAATAGGCGTGACGGAAATACAGTTGGACCATTATATGCTGACATGGATCATTGACCGTCACATCTAGATCATTTAGACCGACTCTTCTTCTTTTTCAACCCAACCCCTCCTTCCTCAATCCAACCCCATCTTCCTTTCTCTTCAATTTTCTTCTTCCCAATCAAACAAATTTACAATTAATCCAATCATTATCCTAAAAATTAATAGTGTGATTTTTCAGATTGGAATTTCTTTCTCTTCACTTTTCTTCTCTATAGCTTCCCAATCAAACAAATTTACAATTAACCCAAACTCTGATTTTGTTGGCTGATCTGGTTTTGCTGTTTTCTTGTTAAAATCTGTGCTTATCCTTCTTTCCTTGCTTCTTTTCTTATGAATTGCCAGAAGAAGCATGTAGAACTAGGAAAGACCACCATGGTGAGCAAGAAACATGGTAATTATCACGCTTTTACCCTATAATGGAGGTATGTTTAGACTTGGTTCATTCTTTGGGATTTTTTTAACATTTGTGACTAACTGCACTGTCTTTGCACTTTCGAGTAACTTTTAGTTTTAAGTTCCACTTTAGAATAAATTAAATTTTATAAATTGTTTTGGTCATAAAATGATACGTTGTCTGTTCTTTCGGCCGAATTTAATTTTTGGAGGTATTGGTTGGAAACCTTTTGACTTTCTGTGTAACTTTTGTTTTTGAGAAAGATCCAAACTTCTTTCTGTGGTCTAATTTTCCAATTATTTAGTTATACCATGTCCAGACCATTAAAATAAATCCCAATCTGAAAAATTACACTATTAATTTTTAGGATAATATTTGGCTTAATTGTATATTTGTTTGATTGGGAAGCTATGGAGAAGAAAAGTGAATAGAAAGAAAGAAAGAAGATGGATTGAGGAAGAAGAAGAGCTGGTCAAAATAGTCCAGCTGTGACGGTCAACGATCCATGTCAACATATAACGGTCCAATTGTATTTTAATAGGTTGTTAACGTCGAGTGACATTTTGTAACAAATAATAATGTTAGTGACCGGTTTGTGACTTTTTAAACATCAGTGGTAAAAACAAACACTACCCCAAGAATGAGTGGCCATTGGCGTAGTTTAACCTTTTTTAATAATTTTTGTACAATTATTAATGTTGTATATCAAATTTTTTAACTAAAATTTCGTTAAAGTGCATATATTGATACAGTTGAGGAAGTTTTGATTGGGCGTTTCAAGCTCTATGCTTTCACAAATATTCTTCTCCTTGAGCCGTTGAAAGTGGATAAATTCAGCATGATTCGTTGAAGTATTTGACATTTTTTGTGTCACTAAATTGTTTTTATCCGAATTAATTGTAAAACTAGATTATTTCCTTAACAACCTGAGTTTTAACCCCAGCAGTTTCGATAAGGACACGTGGACTTGCAAAGGCCACAGATGAGCACCACGTGGAATGGTAACTTGTCCACACAACTTAACAGTGGGTGGCAAAATCGGGAAAACTGGCTTTCGTCTCTCGCTTTGTATTTTGTAGGAGTGGGTTCACCTGACCGGGTTCCAGGATAGGCCACAGAAAAAGCGGTCCCCTTTTAGATGGTCGAGGATTTAGACACGTGTAGATAGAGGCCCACATTTTACACGTGGCTTCCAACCGTTTAGCGTGAGGTAACGAGCGTGATCGCACGTGAAGTGGGGCCCCCAAGCGGAATTCTTTAATATATTTTATCCGTCCCTCTCGATCGCGCGTTGGCTTGCCAGCTGGCTCGATCACTGGACGTTTCCAGGACGCATCGCCAAGCGAGAGAATTTTGGATCGGAGATTGGTTGAAAGATCTGTACTCCTTTTGGGCGCTGCGTGGAGGAGTTTATGATGGGTTGAAGTCTGAACTGAATTCAACTTCACGTTTTGCTTGTGAAATTCAATTTATTTATATATACTTCAAAGGCTTTCTTTCTAGAACACTATTAGCATTTCATCCCCGTGTGATTACGTGAATTCCATAATTTTACAAGAAATTATTTTATGGTCTCGGTTCATCACGTCATCCGTACCCCAATAAATAAGAGTAAAAAATTTTAAATAACTTCTAAATAATTACCTATTATTTTTTTACATGTTAGAAAGAGACTAATATTCACCTTAGAAAAATGAAATAAAAAATTATTATTGGTTGAGACCACAGATGACGTGATGAGCCGGGACGATCTAATAATTCTTCAAACTTTACAATTATGGAAAGCTATTTGGTTGCCACTCATAAAGACTTATAGGGATCAATTCTCATCTGATTTCATTGTACAGAAAACATTTAAAATTAAAAAAAATAAATTAAATGTAGAGGAAGATTTTCATAAATAATATTTCGGGTAATGTGGAAATGGAATTCAAGGATTGTTTTTTCAATGAACAAGTTTAGAAGAAAAAGTTTAACTAAAATAATATAATGTGAAGCAAATTTAAATGAGAAAAGGTATAAGAATGATGACAGAGTTGGAGCCTACCCTTATTGGCATCCCTACAAAGAATAATTCTTGGATTATTCCGATGTCAATGAACTTAAAGTCCTTATTTGATTTTATATAATAAAATATTTATATGTATATTTAGGTCAAGTTAGATCAAATATAAATTTTAATCCAAAAAATCACATCGTGTTTTGAATACAATCAATATAGGTATTTAATTTTCAAATTCGATTATAATAGACTAAAATTTTAACTTGACCTATAACCGTACTTATACATGACACCATCTTAACGAAAGTATCATCCAAAGATTATGACCTAAACTTTACATCCCTCCATAAAATTAATAAGAATGTATTCTTTTAAAAGAAGCGGTTAGTTTTATTAAATAAAAAGGAAATATAAAAAATTATAATAAAATGTTTACAACCATAAACGTAAACTAAACATATAATTAGATATTTTCTTCTAACCATTATAAAGAAACTAGTCAGTTGAGATAAAAACAAGAACTATACCAAGAAAAAGTTATAAATCCATCCAAAAATCTCGAATAAAAGATTGATACGAGCATATCAGCAAACGAACCTCAACATGGGATTAAACTATTGAAATATAATTGACAATCGCAAATCAAAGTCAAGCATCGGGAGATAACCATCTCTGAACACAAACCACGTATTCAAATCCAATTCGAGGTTTTAAAAGAGGGAAGATTAACAGGATAATGTATAAGCACCATCTTGATCAATAGAGACAATGTCAAATCCAACCACGAGAAAATAAAACGAAAAAAGTCAAATGATCGATAAAAAATGCAAAAAAATACAAAATATATTATAAAGGTAGAAAAATATGTCTCAGAAAGACAATATTATTAAAAATTATAATCTAAAAGGAGTAAAGAAGATCTGTTGTCGACAATCAACTCTAAAAGTTGATGCGGCCTATTAACAAATGTAAAAAAGAGAAAGGAGTGGCGCAAAACTTCGGAGAGAATTTAGGCCTAGGGTTTTACTTTGAATTGGACATCTTAATATGACTTCAAATTATGTCAAAAAAATAAAAATGATTTTTTTTATTGAACAAAGAGCTCAAACTAACTTAAGGGAATCAAAACCTTAGACATAAGCCATCCTCTTGGAGGATTGTGAGGGGAAACTTTTGCTGCAAAATCATCTTTGTGAACCGTCTTAGCCAATTTCAAGGCCAAACCAAGGGTGGTAGACAGCAGCTTTGGACCAAATGGGACAAACTGGTAGACCTCCAATAATTATTAGGTCCAATGTTGGTGAATGAAAATAATGTAATTTTCATATTGTTTTAAGGAAAAGAAAAAGGTGTCGATTTATTTATTTATTTTGTAAACTGGAAAAAAGGTCGATTAATATAGAATATTCTTAGAAGTGTTTCGTGAATCTAAAAATTCGGACGAAAATGGAACTTTGGCGCTAAGCGTAAAAGAATAAAAATATGCCTGGGAATATAAGGTAACAAAATTAATACAATTATAGAAATATGTTTTTAAGTTTTATAGAATTTTGATATATAGAATCGTACCTTGTTATTGTGTCACGTTCAGCACTCTAAAAAGAGGTGTATTTTATAAGAAGGTAACAAAATGTATTAATCTAACGTTAGAACTATGCACAAATCAACTTATCTCGATGATTTAAGGATCATTATTATTCTTAGAAGTTATAAGTTCGAACACCAGTGACTGCAACATGATTAATTAAACGTTTATTGTCAAATGATTGAGATTATTTAGAACATATATTATTTTAACTTAATAAAAAAATTAAGAGATGACGAGTATAAAAAGCAATAACGTCGTATATTTTATCGTGACTTCATTTAAAAAATTGAAAATGACCCTTTGATAGGTGACATTAGAAGGATCCTTTAACTGTATAATTTTATGTCAAACGCCAACAAGTGAAATAGGTCTGATGGACTAATTGTGGATGCAAAGCTAATATAAAACGTCATTAGATTAAATATGAAAAATGTCATGTCTCGTCCTCTAAAGAAGAAGTTGGAACAAAATAGACTGGACCGTGGGAGCAACCGCT